GTGGTTCTGGTTCTGCTTCTGGTTCTCCTGTGGTTCTCCTGTGGTTCTCCTGTGGTTCTGGTTCTCCTGTGGTTCTCCTGTGGTTCTCCTGTGTTCTGGTTCTCCTGTGGTTCTGGTTCTCCTGTGGTTCTCCTGTGGTTCTGTTCTCCTGTGGTTCTCCTGTGGTTCTGGTTCTCCTGTGGTTCTCCTGTGGTTCTGGTTCTCCTGTGGTTCTCCTGTGGTTCTCCTGTGATTCTCCTGTGGTTCTAGTTCTCCTGTGGTTCTCCTGTGGTTCTGGTTCTGCTTCTGGTTCTCCTGTGGTTCTCCTGTGGTTCTGGTTCTCCTGTGGTTCTCCTGTGGTTCTGGTTCTCCTGTGGTTCTGGTTCTCCTGTGGTTCTCCTGTGGTTCTCCTGTGGTTCTGGTTCTCCTGTGGTTCTGGTAGATGTTCTGTGTTTCAGCCGTGCTCGGCGTCAGGGTTCTAAAGATGGTTCTTTTGGGTTCTCGTTGGACTCGGTGGACGACCCGGAGCTGTTCTTTCCTCTGGAGCAGATCCCCGTGAGTCTCTTTTCCTCAAACACTTTGGTTTTGTATTTAAATGTGTACGTGACTCCGCCTCCTCAGCCGCAGGCCCCGCCCCCTGCGCACGGCCCCGCCTACAGACCTCCTCAGGCGCCGCCCATCTCCCAGGCCCCGGCCCCAAACTCCAGCGCCGTTTCCTCCGACGACGACGGCGAGACCCCCGCTGCCCCGGGTCAGTCCAAGACCTGGTTCAGACCAGGGCCTGGTTTAGACCTGGTTTTAGACCTGGTTTTAGACCTGGTTTTAGACCTGGTTTTAGTCCTCATTTAGACCTGGTTTTAGTCCTGGTTTAGTCCTGGTTTTAGTCCTGGTTAAGACCTGGTTTTAGTCCTGGTTTAGACCTGGTTTTAGTCCTGGTTTAGACCTGGTTTTAGACCTGGTTTAGACCTGGTTTTAGACCAGGTTTTAGTCCTGGTTTAGTCCTGGTTTAGACCTGATTTTAGTCCTGATCTTATTCTTTTTTGTTTTTCAGAGTTCTCAGAAGACTTCATCTACCCCTCACAAGGTCAGCCTCTCAGCCAATCACAGCCCTCCTCTGTGCCTCTCAGCCAATCACAGCCCTCCTCTGTGCCTCTCAGCCAATCACAGCTCGTCTCTTGTTTCAGATTCGGGTTTCCAGACGACGACGACGGCGGTGGCGGGCGTGGGCGGGGTTTATAACGAGCCCGGCTCCACTCAGGTACGTCATAGCGCCACCCGGGTCAGGTCGGGTCCCGGGTCTGGGGTCGGGTCGGGTCCCGGGGTCAGACCGGGGTTTGGGGTCGGGTCCCGGGGTCAGACCGAGGTCGGGGGTCGGGTCGGGTCCCGGGTCAGATTCTGTTTCTTTCTGTGTTCAGGACGAGCAGGAGGCAGGAGCAGTGGATTCTCCTCAAAGACCAGATCTGAACTACAACTTCACCCAGCAGGTCAGTCCTGGTTCAGTCCTGGTTTAGTCCTGGTTCAGTCCTGGTTTAGTCCTGTTTGTGGTTTTCAGGTGAAGCCCATGTTGGGTTCTTCTCCCTCTTCTTCGTCTTCCTCCTGTTCCTCCCCAGCCACGACTCACCCGCCCCCCAGACCAGGTGAGAACTCAACCAGGACTCCCCCCAGACCAGGTGAGAACTCAACCAGGACTGGTGAACAGAAACCTTCTTGTTGTGAGGTATGAGACCTCAGGGAGTGAGGTTCTGGAGGTCCTGAGGTCCTAATCACCTGATGCATTTGACTCGGTGTGCTTGACCGGATGCGTTTGACCCGGTGCGTTTGACCCGGTGCGTTTGACCTGGTGCGTTTGACTCGGTGCGTTTGACCCGGTGCGTTTGACTCTGTGCGTTTAACCCGGTGCGTTCGACCCGGTGCGTTTGACCCGGTGCGTTCGACCCAGTGCGTTTGTCCCGGTGTGTTTGACCCGGTGTATTTGACCCGGTGTATTTGACCCGGTGTATTTGACCCGTGTATTTGACCCAGTGCGTTTGACCTTGGTGCGTTTGACCCCGGTGCGTTTGACCCGGTGCGTTTGACCTGACCTGATGTGTTTGACCCCGGTGCGTTTGACCCCGGTGCGTTTGACCCGGTGCGTTTGACCCGGTGCGTTTGACCCCCGGTGCGTTTGAGCCGGTGCATTTGACCCCGGTGCGTTTGACCCAGTGCGTTTGACCCGGTGTGCTTGTCCCAGTGCGTTTGACCCGGTGCGTTTGACCCCGGTGCGTTTGACACCGGTGCGTTTGACCCGGTGTGCTTGTCCCAGTGCGTTTGACCCGGTGCGTTCGAGCCGGTGCATTTGACCCCGGTGCGTTCGACCCGGTGCGTTTGTCCCGGTGCGTTTGACCCCGGTGCGTTTGACCCGGTGCGTTTGACCCCGGTGTGTTTGACCCGGTGCATTTGACCCCGGTGCGTTTGACCCGGTGCGTTTGTCCCGGTGCGTTTGTCCCGGTGCGTTTGACCCCGGTGCGTTTGACCCGGTGCG